ATGAGGAAAGGCTGAGAGCGCTGAGCCTGTTTAACCTGGAGAAGACTGAAGGGGGGGATCTCATCAATGTTATAGATATCGAAAGTGTGGGTGTAAGGAGGATGGTGTCAAGAGGATGGGGCCAGGCTCTTCTCAGTGGTGTCCAGTGACAGGACTAGGGGCAGTGGGCACAAACTGGAGCACAGGGAGTTCCACCTGTGATTGATGGAAAACTTCTTCACTCTGAGGGTGCCAGAGCACTGGAACAGGCTGCCCAGAGAGGTTCTGGAGTCTCCTTCTCTGGAGAGATTCCAAACCCACCTGGATGTGTTTCCATGCCATCAGCTCTAGATGAAACTGCCTTGGCAGGGGGGTTGGACTAGATGATCTCCAGAGGTCCTTTCCAACCCTGAACATTCTGTGATTCTGTGAAATTAAACTAAAATAAGAGGTTCTGATGGACTCTTCAAAATGGAAAAATTTTAAGCTGGGGTAAAAAAAAAATGATGCTGGAATTTCCTGTTGATACAAAATATCAGGATTAATCACTTACATAGGCTTAATCAAGTAGATGTTTATTTTGGCAGCTGATCTCATTTGTTTGTATCTAGAAAATATCATTTGTAAAGGCTTATGTATGGCTTGCTTTAATATTGGTTGGGCCAGAACTATATCTTTGTCTATATTGACAGAAATATAATCATCACAAAGCTTGTAGAATTACTCTCTCATGTGTCACCATACCAATACACTTTCCTGCCAACCTCTTGGAGTTAATTTTGCTCCCTACATCTGACTGCTCTCACCAGCTAGCAGCTGTAGCACTGAAGATAGCAGTTCCCAAGCTTAGGAGGAGAGGACTGGGCATAAATGGAGTCTTTTATCTCAGAAATGTTTGCACTTTGTGCACACTCACTACCTAAATTCTGGGCAGAATAGTCTACAAGTTCAGTCACTCAGTATGGTTTGAAGAAGTAGCTAGTTTTGCAAAAGCAGGAAATGTCCACTCTCTTCTAGTTAAAGAGGCTGTCAAGTTACGCAGCTGAAGTGTTGATTTGGTACCACCATGACTGGGGAAATAATTCAGTGTTTCCTGATGGAAAAGCAGCATGGGAAAGCATTTAAAGCCTCATGATAGATGATTATGATGCCTTTTAATACCCATTCTCCTAGATGTAGCTTGCTTCGAGAATTCTCATATGTTGATGAATTGCTATTTCAGCCATCTCTAACTGCAACACACATCATGTGAAGAGAAGTTGGTAACTCTGCCTCTGAGCCAGATGTAAAATGTCTTACAGTTTGTTCTAGCTCTAACTTGCCCACTTCTGTAAAACATGTGCAGCTGCAGTAGTGGTACACAGTAGTTGCTATCCCACCTGGAGTTCTGCGTCCAGCTGTGGGGCCCTCAACATCAGAAGGATATTGACCACTTGGAGCGAGTCCAGAGGAGGCCACGAAGATGATCAGAGGGCTGGAGCCCCTCTGCTATGGGGACAGGCTGGGAGAGTTGGGCTTGTTCAGCCTGGAGAAGAGAAGGCTCCGGGGAGACCTTATAGCACCTTCCAGTGCCTGAAGGGGCTACAAGGAAGCTGGGGGGGGCTTTTTACAAGGGCCTGTAGTGACAGGACAAGGGGTAACGGGTTTAAATTGAAAGTGGGGAGGTTTAGATTGGATATCAGGAAGCAGTTCTTCCCGGAGAGTGTGGGGAGGCACTGGAACAGGTTGCCCAGAGAAGCTGTGGATGCCCCATCCCTGGAAGTGTCCAAGGCCAGGCTGGATGAGGCTTGGAGCAACCTGGTCTAGTGGAAGGTGTCCCTGCCGATGGCAGGGGGTTGGAACTGAATGGGCTTTAAGGTCCTTTCCAATCCAAACCGTTCTGTGGTAAATGCTGGTATGTGTTTGCTTTAAAAATTAAGCACAGACCTATTTATTCCATGGAATACTTCAGTAAAGAAACTCCAACCTTGGCAAAAAAGCTACAGATGCTATTTGTGGAGCAAATAGTTTTATACCTTGCTGCTGAGGGGGCTTTAAGGTTATGTACATGTCTCTTTTCTTTTTTTTCTTTTTTTTTTCCCCTCCTTAGGAGTTTACATCCTTATTGGAGCTGGTGCACTTATGATGCTGGTTGGTTTCTTGGGATGCTGTGGTGCATTGCAGGAATCTCAGTGTATGCTTGGCCTGGTAAGTGCTCCAGAGTAGTGTTTAAATTTTTAGTAGCACAGTGAGAAAGGAAGGAAAATATTACTGTGCAGTTAAAGGGTAGCATGATTGTTTTGGTTCCACAGCATTTAAACTCCTGGTCACCTACATAATGCTAAAATGTTAAATATAGTTTCCATTTCTGGCCCTAAATCCAAATGTCCATGTTGTATTTGAATACAGGATGACTGCAAGAGTTAGTGATGTATTCAGATAACGAAGTGTCAAGACTTGGAGTATGTGTGAACACAGAACTAATGTTAAGAGTCATGTTATTTATTAAATGAGTCCTGAACTCTGAAAGCTGTGCAATCTTTAATCTTTGAGACCAGAACTGTGGTATGCTACCCTTGAAACAACAAGCCTCTACTGTTTGTAATAACAAGATGAGCTCTTCTAGTTGACAGTTGCTCTGTAAGCCAGTTATTGGAGAGCAACCTCATTGTTTTCAGACTAGAGGGGCCAGTAAACCTTACTGGGTTCATCCACATCAGTATGCTTGTGGAACTACTCATCCAAAAAAAAAACCAGAAGACTTAGTTAATTAAGAGTACTACTATAGCTGGTGAAAGAACAATTCTGCTTCTATGTCATGGAAGAAGTTAATTTCATATATTTCTTGCAGAATCATTCCTCTAGCCCTTTGTAATTCTGAACACCTCTTTAAAGTGCCTTTAAATGGAAGTGGTGCTGTGGACCTGGTGTAGTCGGTTAAACACAGATGACACTTCTACTTCTATTTTATGGAATATACAACAAAGCAGTGACCATTAGCTCTCTGGGAGTTGGTGGTAAGCTAGGTATTAAGTAATGACTCCTAAAGCAACAGGAGTGACAAACCAGAGAAAATAACTGATGTCAGCTGTTGTGATGTGTCTGAGTGACCTGGGCAACTTCAAAGTCTGAGCTGACAGATGATCAGTTTTAATTAATCCTGATCAAAAAGGAGGACTCCTGCTTGGAAAACACTGCCAGGCTTTCTGACGCTGCTGGGAAGAAGTGCTGACCTAGTGCAGTGTGTTCTCTCTCCTAGTCTTAGTGCTTCAGACCTCCACCTGCAACCTGGTACTGTGACAGTTCCCACAAGGCTGGACACTGGGGGCTGAACAAGCTTGCAGTATATTTGTGATGCTGTGGTCTTAATGACGTGGTCTTTTCTTCCTCTTCCTAGTTCTTCCTCTTCCTTTTTGTGATTTTTGCCCTTGAAATTGCTGCTGCGATCTGGGGATTTGCAAATAAAGAACAGGTAGGTTGCTCTCAAGTTGGTGGGGCGGTGGTATGCTGAAACAGGTTGCCCAGAGAAGTTGTGGGTGCTCCATCATTGGAAGTCTTCAGAGTCATGTTGATGAGGCTTTGAGGAACCTTGTTGTAGTGGGAGGTGTCCCTGCTCATAGCAGGGGGGTTGGAACTTGATGAACTTTAAAGGTCCCTTCCAACCCAGACCATTCTGTGACAGTGCCCACAGAAAGTTAGCAGTCTACTGAAATCTGTACCAGTACTTGTCAAATCCTGATTACCCAGGAAATATGGGGGAGAGGAAGACTACATATTCTAGCAAAACAATACATGAAATTACTCTGCTAAAGTCTCGTTTTTAAATATTAGAGAAGCTGGAATCCAAGATGCTGTTGCATGCTAGAGATGCCCCCTAGGCAGTACCTGGCTGACCTGTGAAGCAAAGTGGGCCGTCAGTGAAGCTTTACCCCTTCTAGATACGAGCTGAGCAGGGTCAGCTATGGGCTGCGTGTTCCTGCATCAAAACATGACTGATCTGTGCTGTCCCCTCACAAAGTCAAGAACCTGTCTTATTTCAAAACAAGTTACTTGATGATCAGGGTTGCTTTTCTGTTTGTTTTCTAACAGAAGAATATAGCAACTTCGGGGTGCAGAAATGAATAGGGAATATTTTTGTCACCAGTGGGCGAAAACTTTGGCCACTCCTTCTAGAAGCGCAGAGCTTTGGAAGGGGAAACAATCTTATCTGTTTAGGTGTGATTAAGGTGACTGTACCAGTTGCGCTCACCTGTCCTAAGTGAGAAATGTTGTCCGCCCTGTTTCCACCCTCTCTTTCTACATGTCAAAAGGATGGGTATCGTAAGTTGCAGAATGCTTAATGACAGGCCTACTCAAAACAAGTTTTCCATAATTAATATGAAGGCAGTAATATGCCACAACTCTTTGCTGTCCTGTAGGTTATTGAAGAGTTAAAGGACTTCTACATGGAAACCTATGAGAAGAGATCGCAAGTAGCTGCCCGAGAGACCCTGAAAGCATTTCAGTTAGCTGTAAGTATATGGTTATACTTAAACGAGACAGTAGTGTGGCTTGTTCACATGGTTCTCCGTGTTACTCAGTTCGCTGTACACGTCTAGTATCTTACTCACGAGAAGAAACCAAAAGTATTTGTAACAAATTGCAGAGCTCTCCTTGTATAGTGTCAGTGAACTCAGTATGCCTTTTTTCCCCCCTCAGAACCTCTGAAATGTGTAGAACTACTTCTTTTTTTCCTAACCAAAGTCGGAAGAAAGCCAACACACTCTAGATCTGTGGTATTGATCTAGAGGCACCATAGTATGCATAGCTGCATGTCTATGAAGAGCTCATCTTTGTAAGGAGTACAAGCTGCCACCAAAATTAATGTGTGTACACTTTAATGAGATCTAGCTCTCCCTTTCAGAATCTTGCCCTTTAATGCCATAAAGGGTTTTTAAAATTATGTTTATAGCATTCACATTGGCAGGACTTCTAGCGTAAGGTCTGTAATAAAACCCAACGTAATCTACTTCTCCTTTTTACCAAGTACAGAGCAAAAAAAACCAAAAGTATTTAACCTGGTTCTCTTTTCCTCTTTTCTCTTGTAGCTAGACTGCTGTGGCCTCACGGGAGCTCTTGAGCAGCAGTTCATGGATACGTGTCCAAAGAAGACCATTGTCGAGTCGCTGTCTGTCGTGGTAAAGCATGACTTATTTCACCAACAGCTCTGCCCAATGAGTAGGATGAGGAACACATTTCTGAATAAACCCTTCTAGTCCTGGGGAAATTCCCATGTCAATTTTGCTTAGCAACCTATCTCTATAATCAGTCGAGTTGTGGAATAACAACATACTGTTACTGTGGAAAGAACAAGCATGGTTAGCAGGAAATGTGAGTTTTCACAGGAAATGTGCGGCCTGTGTGACACTAGAATCACTGGTGTTGATGGACAGAGAAAGGCCCAAACTTGACTTAACACAAAATGCCAGAGAGCTCTCTTCTCCTGGCTGCTCCTATCACCAGAGCACCTTCCTGGTGCTGCGTGGGAGCTATTGCTCCCCTCTTGGTTAGGGACAAGTAGAGCATGGGCTGGGAGCAGATCTGAAGTTTTACCGAGGAGATGGAGAGGGGGTAATGCACTGGTGGCCTGTTTGGGTGAGTGTGTCACTGAAGCAAATTCTCTGAATCGGGTTCCCCTGTTGAAATATTGCTGCAAAGTTCCTGGTGTGCCATAGACACAGGAGAGGCATCTTGTATTGTTCATAAGTTTCCTCTTTTTCTTACAACTGCCTTGTGCTCTTTCTTCATGCTCCAAGACAGCCTGTATGAGTCTTTCCATAGAAAATAAGGTTCTTGCCATGCAGGAATTCAATCAATTGATTTCCCACACACCCCCCTCCTGCCCCAACATTACTTTATGCTTTTGCTTTCATTACAGATTTTGTGCCTTCAAATATCTAACCACATGAGAAACTTCAGTCTGTATTTAGACTGTATCTTTAGTGGTGTCCATACAATCTGCTATGAGTTAGAGTATGAGAGTAGCTGAGACATCAAGCAGGTGATGATCAAGCAGGTTGATCAAGCAGGTTGCTTGCTTTTGTTCTGCTAAGTGTATTTTTTAGTGGTGTCCATACAATCTGCTATGAGTTAGAGTATGAGAGTAGCTGAGACATCAAGCAGGTTTTATTGCTTGCTTTTGTTCTGCTAGGTGTATTTTTTGCTTCATCTGTTGACTTCATCTTGTGATGTGTTTATAGCCTAGTCCCAGTGGTAGAGAAGCAGTAGATAGACTGCAGGATTAAAGATATATAATGGTGTGGCTGACCTGTGTGCCTCTAAGAAGCAGTGCTGCATTGATACTCTCATTTAACTGATTAATTCTTGCCTTTAATCCTCAAATCAGTCTTTTGTTCTGGACTGGATAAGGATCAACTTAAAAAATGGTTTTCAGCAGTTCACCGTAGTCTGCTGCTGGAATAAGTAGGACAGGAGTTGGGATAAGACTTTGACCAGCTAGCAAGCTCCTAGAAGATTTATACCTCTGTAAAAGTTCCTTGTTCTTTTTCTTGGCTACCATATGTCTTTGCTGGGGAACGGAGAGTACTTAATTCTTTTTTTCTTTAGTTGCAATGGTGATTCATTGGGAGCTTCAAACGGGTACTGTAGCCTGGCATGTATTCATGCAGCTCAAGGAATCCTGCCACTCCGGTGCACCACGTGTTCACAAGGGGTCTGCAAAATCACAATAGCGATTGGAAATATCAAGAGTGGCTTCAAGCTGATTTTGAAAAGGGCTGAGCAGTACTGCAACTTTAAATGCTGACAGCCATTAGTAATGAGCCAAATCTGGTACAACTGCTGTTGGTCCTGCTCTGACCTGATCAACTGCAGGTGTTGAGAGGGAATCCTGCTGTGGCCAAGGCACAGTCAAGAGGTTTAGATACTTGGTGGCCAAGTTTAAATCTACTCTTCAACTCTTGTACTGGAACATCTGTGACTCACCTTAAAGATGTGAAAATAAAGGCCAGTTCAAAGCATCACTCAAAAGATGAGTCTTCATCCCTAGTGTAAGCAGACTTGGTCAGAGGTGTAGCATCAGTTGGCAGACAAGCTCACACAAGCAAGCAGAAACAAACCTTTATGTATGAAACACTAATGAACAGTCTTTCTTTTCAGTCATGCCCTACTGCCATTGACAATGTCTTCAACTCGAAATTGAACGTTATTGGAGCAGTTGGCCTTGGCATTGCTGTAATAATGGTAAGTGTCCAGGTTACTTACAGGGTAGCTGTATGGCAAGAGCACACTTAGAGAAGTCTGAACGGTGTCTGACAAGGCTGTCTACAAGCCCATTCCACTCATGCCAAGTCCTGGCAGGATCAGGGCGTGTGCTGCAGGGCCCCCGGGGCAGTGCAGAGGGTGGAGTGTCTTGGACCTCCCTGATTCTGGTCTGGATTAGGATCTGCCTCCTTGTAGTTTTAGCAGTGGTGAAGTTATATTGGTAATGCATGCATACATAGGGTGAAGATGTATCTGTCATGTTGCCAGCCTACTTCTTAATCCTAATGCCTATTGGGGATCCTTGCTTTTGCTTCCTTTACAACAATTAAAGACTCTGCTAGAGTACTAATGTAACAGTGCTAGTAAGAAAATCTGCACTTTTTTGTTTGACTTCTCTGGAGGAAAGTATGACATGGATGCAAACATGCTGGGATGATCAAAGATTTCTTAAGAGATATGGCAGTGGTTTACAGCTGATCTGTTCTGAAGTATTGAGGGTGAAGGGGATTCATAAAAATGGACTGGAACTTGGGGGTGGAGGGGAAGGGACATGAACTGCAGAATAAAGTGTTAATACAGCCTGTGGGCTGGGAAGAGCAGCTATGCTTGGCCCCATGTTGATAGAAGAATGTGCTTTGGTTCCCTGATATTCTAACGCATTTGCTTTCTTTACAGATTTTCGGTATGATATTCAGCATGGTTCTCTGCTGTGCTATCCGCAAAAACAGAGAAATGGTCTAAGAGCTAAAAACCCAAGACTCTGCTGCACTATAAAATCCTTGTCATTAACTTTAGCGTTCTCAAAGCATTTCTAAAAAGTTATATATTTGTTACCTTTTTAATGCTTTATTTGGTACTGATGTAGGTTTGCTTTTTGTTATAGGTTAAAATGATAAAGATATATCTGACTCAAGACAAATATTGTACATAAAATATCCAACTTCCTTGAAACTTATGTAATTTGGATGTAATTTATGTTGGAGACAATTTGATAATAAAGATTAAGATGTATTGTATGTTTGTGGAGGAGAAGAGATTTTTACTATGCCTATTAATCATACTGTTGGATGCATAGCATGGAGTTGAACTTCAATGATGTATGTTAAATCACCAGCACTTTAGTATAAAGCAGGAAATAACTCCTATGCCAATACCATTTTTAAGGAAATTCCAAGGAATAGAAAAGATGGCTGTCCGAGCATGTTAGGGGAAGTATTGTCATCCTTCCTTCCCTTGGTACGTGGGAACAAAAGCAGTTCTTAATCATATTCCTAAAATCTTACTGCTGTAAGAGTTACTGTCACCTGCATGCAGGGTGGCAAAGGGTGACTGTCATACTGGTGATACGCAGGCAGTGGGACTTGGGTGCAAACAAGCTGAGATCTACCCTGGAGCCAGCTGGGCTTTCTTATATCAGCCTGTCTGCTGTTGTAACTATCTCCCTTGGCATCTGATGTGGCCTTGGTCCTTTGACAGGGCAGACTCCCATAGTGTGTGATCAGGGTTTTTCCTCAGTGCCTGGCATTGCTGGCTTTGGAGAAACAAAACAAAGTACAGTCTCGAGGGCTTATGGCATGTGTGCCAACTCTCAGGTTTCCAAGAGGAAAAAACCCAGAAGTTGCATGTGAAGTTGCTGTATGGCTCTGCAGTCGCTGCTTACAGCAGTAGCTAGGGCTGTGGCTATCCTGTTTCAGCTTAAGAATAGAATTGGTGTGGCACGCTTACCTTAAAAAATTACCAATTTGTCCTGTATTACTTTTTCAGCATCTTTTTTCCTCAAAAATATCCTCTGGTGGGGGCTGCCTGTGGACTTGAGTCCTCACCGGGAAGTCAATGTGCTGTACCTGTATCTGGGGTTCCCCTACTACAGTATCTCAGCTGCATTCCTAGGAACTTCTTTGTCCTCCAGGTACTATAAATGTCTTAACAGTCCTTGCTTGTTCCCACCTTTCTGCTGCAGAACTGAGAAGTAGCATTTGTCAACAGTGCAATTGTTGGCACGAGACTAAACCTTGCACCTGAAAGCTGGTGGGGCGAATTGGTGCTGACTTCAACTGCCACTGGTCTTATTGCTCTGTGTTTGTGCACATGTTCACGTTGCCAACGTCCAACACGGCTGTAGTGCAACACTAGCAGTGTTTGTCAGTGCCCAAGAAAATGTGGTGGTGGGCTGTAACTAGGGTGAGTTGTGGATGCCCCATCCCTGGAAGTGTCCAAGGCCAGGCTGGATGAGGCTTGGAGCAACCTGGTCTAGTGGAAGGTGTCCCTGCCCATGGCAGGGGGGTTGGAACTGGATGGTCTTTAAGGTCCCTTCCAACCCAAACCATTCTGTGATTCTGTGATGAGAATTAAGCTTGTAGGCTCAGCTGCTCACCTCATGAGATAGGTTTTTGGTGGCTGCTAGGGAGGAAGCTCTCAAACTGGCATCCAGGTCAACAGAGTGTTTGAGTTTATACTTTTCTGTTGCTGTCTCCTGCAGAAGCTGGATGGAGGCTTCCTGTGAGTTACTCTTTACCTTGCAGTGCTGCTGCCTTAACCACAGCGTTTACTGCAACGCTTCATGCCTCTGTGATGCCTGCCCTCTTCCCCCATACGAAGTCCTGTAGCTCAACCTTTTGCCTTTCTTTTTGAACGTCCTATGTGAGTAGGTTGGTCTTTCCTGATTGATCAACACATGGGTAAGTTGTCATTTATCAGGGAAGAAAGAGCTACTGTTCATTTTTTTTATTTTTATTTTTTTTTTAGCAAGAATATGAACTACAGATGCAAAACCTGGTTGCAGACATCCAAAGATCTGCAAGCTAGCCTGGAATGAATACTTCTTGGTAATGAATATTGAGTTACATGATGAATAGTTTTACTTTACAAGTAGCAGTTGCGACCAAATTGCCTGAAGAATTTGGTTCTAAGCAACAGCAGCCCTAAAAGTGCTGTGTAGCACTGACTGAGCAGGAAGTGAGCTCCTATTTTTCAAGTTTGGTCAGCATTGCCTCAAAGCTGGAGCAGAATGGGATGTGTGAAGTAGTGCATAGAGGCTTTGGGGTGCGCAAAGAGGACTAGA